GTTATTGGGCATTCAGTACTAAGATCCTCAGATAATCCACAGGTTGATATCTTCCTGTTTTTACTGTTAACATCTGGTTCTGGTTCCTGGTTGGTGGGGCAGGTGTTGTGAATGAAACGGGGCCCAGCTTGAAAGCTCTTGTGTGATAGATAGATAGATAGATAGATAGATAGATAGATAGATAGATAGATAGATAGATAGATAGATAGATAGAGCTCCTGTGTGTGGCTGAATGTGAGCGTTGATGACTGGAAGACATCTTCTGCCTCCATTTATCTGTTTACTACAGTCTGTTGAATTCATTTTCATGTGGATTTAAAGACATTTACATTCGAGACATCACTACTGATCTGCGTCCAGACTGCCTAAAACAACTCCTCAGGCTTTTTAAAGGCTGTTAGAACACAGCGAGCCTCTGTGTGCTCATCACTGAGGTTCATTTCTGCTCCTCAGGTCCGAGTGAGCGCCAACCTGCGCGTGTACATCATGGCTCTGGAGGTGGACAGCTCCGAGCTCCTCCGGGTCCTGAAGCCCAGCCTCCCCCTGGAGCGCCTCCACCTGGACAGCTACAGCACGCTGGTGACCGACGCCACCCTGGAGCTCATCTCCCAGCAGTACAACAAAACCCTGACCCACTTCCTGCTCCTGAGGGATGGCCCCGACTTCCCCGACCTCAGCGTCAACCGCAACGAGGACCCGCTGGTGCTGCTGGCCTGGAGGTGCACCCAGCTGGCCGTGCTGGTGATCCACGGTGAGTCCAAACTAGGGTTGTCACGATACTAAAATGTTCAACTCGATACCGACACTCTTGAAAATACTCGATACCATTTTCGATACCACAAGGATAAAAACAAAGACCCTTTGGTTTCAAACTGACCTGTTACTAATGTTATTGTGACTGGTGGCCCGCATTAATAACCCTAATCCTAACCCTGACCCAACAGCCCTAATAATTGTGAGAAATAAATATTTTTTGGTTAAACTTGTTTGGACTTATTGTACAAACCTATTAACATTACACTATTTTACCATAATATTATGGATAGTTAAAAAAATGGCAATATAGACTTTAATTTCACTATTTTTACATTAATGTCTATATTGCCATGAGGCGGGGGGGTATCGATACTTTTGAAAATGAGTATCGTATCAGGATACAACATTTTAGTATCGATACTTTTTTGAGTATCGATACTTTTGACAACACTAGTCCAAACTGGGATCTGAACATAGTGTGAGCGGCACAGTTCGATATCTGGTTTATATTTCCCCCCCGGACTCTTAACTAACGCTCTGAAATAGCTCAGTAATCAGTACAGACATCAGGTGTGTTTTTATGAACTAATTAAAAAGGTGGAATGTAGTGGAGTCGTTCTCATTAAAGCTCCTTTTCATCTAGACCCTTTTCTCCACTCACCATTTCCCACACAATGCAAGTAGCGGAGTGAGGCTCTAGAGTATAAAAAACTATCTTAAAGGTTAAATTCTGCTTCGATAAACAGCCTTTCT